CCTTGGCTCAAAAGAGGTTGAAAAACACTGGGTTAGACTGTCCTGTCTCTACTTCCTGTGCAGCAGTTTACCAACCGTCAGTGGCTTTAAGGTGATTTAGTCAATGAAACTAAATCTCTCTAAGACTTTGATGCTGCAGCTGTCACAGATAAAATCTTAATTCTTTGAGGTTCCAGTAAATGTCGTCTAAAAATGAGTCTGAGGTTAAAGGTCCCCCTGCTGTTTGACCAGGTTTTACTGGGATAAAGCTGTGAGGACACAAACTTAAAAAGCAAATTAAGCTCAGATCAACTATTTCTGCGTTTTAGTTTTTTTATGTTTGTTTCCTGTTCTGGTGACGGTCAAGTCCTCCGTGTGAATAAAAACCTTATCCAGTTTGAAATGGAAATGTTTCAGGGCCACAGTTGTAAAAAAATGAAATGAATCATTCAGGATGTAACAAACCAACAAACATCTCCAGGTTTGAACCATTGGAGACATTTTTAGATTATTAGGACCTTTTTAAACCAACACAATCAGTGTGTTTCATCCTTACCCTGCAGCTGGGCGTTGAGCAGCGATGGGTCAACGGCAGGAACCGACCGGGCAGCAGGGAGTGATTTACCAGCTTCTCCTGGACAACAGCAACAAAGACAAACACTAAACGATCACGAAGTAACCGATTAAGAGAAATAAAAAGGTTTTCAAAGAGTTGGGCAATAACACTGCTCCTCCTAAATGTCATTAGACGGTAAATTTCCACCCCAGTCTCAGGTCTTTTGAAGGCCCATCAGGTTTTCTATCAACTCTGACCATCCTGCCAGCTCCTGCTGAAGAAACCCCCACAGCATGATGATGCCACCACCAGGGTTCACCATGACAACTGCGTTCAAATTGATCTGCATGTTCAGTTTTCCATGTCAGCCAAACAGTTTGTGTTGGTCCTGTTTGCTGTTTCTCTGTCTTCCGGATGCTTTTGTTCTGAAATCTTGCAGACTCTGTTTACTATTAGCTAATAACGACCAGAGGAATCAAAATAAACGGGACTGAAACAAAAACAGGGCATTTTGTAAAAATTTGTAAACATCACAAAATCCGTAATTTTTCTTGCACTTCAAAATTTCTGGAACAATTGGTCTAACTTATAAAATCACCAGAAATTACACTGAAGTTTGTGGTAGTTCAAACTTAAAAACTCTAAAAGGTGTTAATACTTTTAAAGGCTCTGAGCGGTTTCCTGCGCCTGTCGGTTGGTAGGAGGTGTTTTGAGCTAATATGCCCTAAATACATCCACACTTTGATCTTATCAGTCTAACTAACATTTCTCCTCAAGTTTTGTAGCTATTTAAGATACAATTTTACCACATTTTGCTGGGAGAGAAGACACATTCTCCTTTAACACCTCCAAACAAGCTACACTTGTTTCATCTTTAACTTGCCAACACCTGAAATCCGGGAAAACTTTGGAACCTCTATAAAAACACTTAACTTTTCTTTAGAATATTTTAGATATGAATTATGACAAAAATCTAAAATGTTCCATGAATAACTAGAAGTCACATTCCACAGAAAATCTGCAAATAGGCGGTGATACCTTTCCCCTCTGGCATTGTGATACTGTAAACCTGAATGCTGTGAAAAACAACAAATCCATGAAAAACCTGGGTTATCTTTTTCTGGAACTGCATTTTCTAAATTAATGCACAAAAAGACACGTTGTCCTTTTTGAGGCCCTCAGGGGACACATAACAGTTCTTCAGCATCCGTCTCATTTCCAGGGGAAAAAACACCTTGTCTGTCAGCACTTAGTGCGATTGGACGAGCTCCACGTTTACCTTTGACACTCTTTAATCTTAATCAACACTTTTTCTCTGCAGACATGTTTGACGAGATGCCAGCCAGACAATAACTCAACAAAGTGAGTGTTTGCACTTCTTGTGCCAGCTCACTGTGCGGAAAACTGTTCTCGTTAGCTAAACCGATGTCAAATGTTGCCTAATGGGAAGATAAATTAAGCTTCTTTCACACATGTGTTGCAGCAGATCTTCTTTCTTTTGTCTTCAGAAACCAAATTGCATCTTCAGACATGTTGCTTTATGTCTTTATGTCAACCTGGAAATAATGCAATGAGTATTTAGCAAACAACTTTCACTGCAGAGCCACTTCTTCAACTTCAGAAAAACACACACTTGTTTGTTGAAAAGTCTCTGTGGAGGGAATATTAACTTTAATGCCAGAAAACTGAAAACAGATTAAACTCATTAATTTACAATGCAGTTTCTTTTGCTGGTACATGGAAAAACCTGGAAATACTGCATCATTATCCTGCTTTTATTCTGAGGTCAAGTGAATCAATTCCAGCTTGAGATGAGGCAATACCTGACATCTGAACTCACATAAACACTGAAGCCGGAGTTATGAAATCAAAATATTGTTTGTGAAAATCTGCACATAAGTATGGTGAGCAGATCCTTAAAAAAACATTAAACTGAGCAAATCGAAGATAAAAGATGAGTCAGGGAAAAAAGAAACCTCCAGCTGATGAACAGGAACCAAACGTTCTGTCTCTAGGAAACCGTAAAAAAATAATCCAGGAGAGACTGGACACAGGTCAAGCAGATATTCAGGAACCCAAGGAGAGAACCTTGGGGGATCTCTAAGAAATCTGATTCATCAGCTTTGAATAAACCAAAGCAGCCCCAGCTTTACAACTACAGACACTATTTTAATGAGTTCCCATTAAAATAACCTCTGGTATCCACAGAGGTTAGGGACCACAGCCGCCTGCTGGTAGCTGAAATTCATGAATACTCCAGTATTTTCTAAATACACTCGTTATACCAATGCAAACAAACGCCAGTCAGGAGAACGGTGACACTCCGTCTTTGTATTTTCAGCTTCAAAAACTGCATTTCTTTTGAATATTTTAGACATACTCTGCGAATAGGCAAATTTTCAACAACTAATCACTTCATGTTTCAAATAAACAGATGAATAGATGAATCCATGAACACACAAACAGGCTGTAAATCTCACTGTAAAAAATAAAATAAATCTAAAACGCATGAAATCAAATTTTGTTTTAAAAACATTTTCTGCTTTAATTCACTCCATCAGCATTTGATGCTGGGGTACCTCAGGGTTGTGTTTCTATACCGTTTTTGATTAAACTTGTGCAAAATATGAATAAATGATTATAGAGGGGTGTATAATTTTCTTGTGTATGTATAAGATCTTGTAAAATTTGTTTCATGAGATTCTAATCTCTTAATCATGTGGTTTTAGTTTCATTAATCCTAAACCAAGCATCTGTATTTAGTCTTTGTGGTTTTTAAACACTTGTCTGGTTGTCTATCGAAAACATTTCCTGTTATGTTTCTATCTCAGATATCAGGATAATAGGAAGGAAATGTTGAGCATAATTTTTGGGTAGATTAGAGAAACTAACTGCGAATGGTTCATGTGTTGGAGTGTAAAGATGTTCAGTGCCGTACCTGAAGGAGGCGGCAGATCTGCCGGAGTGTTGGCTGGTGCGTGGGCCCCTGGTGGGATCTGGATGTTGTTGTAGTTCGATGCAGGGGGGCCCGTTGGACCTGATCCCGGATCCTGTGCGAAGCCGATTCCTGGAGCTGGACCTTGATCCTGATTCTGGTTTTGTGAAGGAAGATCTGCCCTGAAGGAGCCTCCATGTGAGAAACTCTGTCCTGAGAAACCTTCCGCTCCAAACTCTGAGAGGCAGAAAGAAAACACGTTTGGCTTGTTTAAACAGCCTTCATAATTCATACCATGTTTGTAGATTTTCCCATCTTTGCCAGCAGCTCTAATATTAATCTGCTTTGACTTTTCACTGCTCAGAATTGCTTCTTTTACGTTTTTTCAGCCTCAGTGGCTCTCTGTGCATTTTAAAGCAGGAACTGAGCCCTGTTTCTATAGGATTCAGTGTAAGTGGGTTAATTAACCTCTGGAGAGCAGTACACTGTTTGACACACATTCTGGCTCCCACTCCCTCCACCACACAAATATACCAGTGGTGGTTACAGAAAGACCATTGTCTCCCCGCAGCTCCGCTCTGACTTTCCATTGGCTGGGAAAGGGACGTGTTGAGCAAGAGGAAAGGAATGGATGGAGGGTGGAGGTAGGGGGACCGAAGAAAGGAAACAAGTTCCACCGCCAGGCTGCAGAAACAGAAACGAGGTGTTGTCGGTTCTGTTACCACAGGAACATTTGTGTTCAAGCAACATGTTGCATTTCCAGCAGTCTGTCTACAAGTTTCCTTCTGGCTCTCCAGCAGATAAGCGTTGTCGTCATGATGCTATTTTTGGTGAGAAGTCATCATATGGTGAGAAGCATGGGGACATGTATACAGCATTCGTCCCCAACCAGAAATAAACTGGGGAAAAGGTCTAAAAACTCAAAAATCTCCATGCATTTACCACATTATCAATTATGGTGATACATTTTGATTTTGATTTATCACATAAGTTCCAGTTAATGAAGTTTAAAACTCCCAAAAACTGTCAAGTGATTCCAAGTGTGTAGGATGATTTAAACGATTGTTTGATCATAAACATCAGTGCCAGTTTCCCAGAGAGCTTGTCCTTAAAACCAAGACGAGTCACTGAGTCAAAGAAATGAGCGGACCTCCTGCAGAGCCCGTCTGTCTGCAGACTGAAACTCCTCGTCCTCACTCAATCCAAACAGATTAGTTCTTTTCCAAAACCCATCAGGAGGCAGGAAAGTAAAAATGGCTTCTGGTGAAATAGTTTGAATATATTGAATTCATCAAACTGTTTAAATTCAATTCATGGCAACATAACCAGAAATACGTTTTAGAAGAGGAATGGGCCTGGAGCCGGAGCGTCGCTGATGAGATGACAAATCAGCTTGAGAATTTATGACATTCATAATTAATCTGAAAACACCTCAAATATCTCCATGTTAAAGCTGTAAGTGAACTGGCAAGTGAAGCTCAGTTGGGACGTTAAAGAACCGTTCTGAGACCAAACATTCCCCCCGGTAAAATTATCCCAACGTAATAAAGAACTGTAATATAAAAAATGTGCATTTAGGTGAGAAAGACCATAATGCTGATGACTAAAAAGACATTTTATGAGATATATCCTGCTTTTTGAAGAGGGTTGAGAATTCAGCAGAAAAATGATTTGGGTCACTCTTGCCTGCTGTGTGAAAGAAGCCATGAAACTTTTCATCAATATGTATATTTTCCTCAACATATACAAACATACTTGGTGTTTTAACTACTAAAATTAGCTCTAAGTGTTTTAAAAGGAGTTATTCCTCTTAAAAATGGACAGTTGTAGACACTGTCCAATGAAATCAGATGCAACCTTCAGTAAAATGCTCAGACGAGGGCGAGGCAGACAACAGCAGCAGCTATACATTAGTGGGGATAAACTACCATGACGTCAGAGAGACAACAGAGCATTCTGGGAAGAGAAAAAAACACAAGCTGTTAAAGTGAGACGGCAACACCAGCAGACGTTGGGGTGTTTTCTGACAAGTTGATGTCATGGTAAAGCGGCCATGTTTTGGGGTCAAACAAACCCAAATGCATGTGGCCTGAGTGGGTGTGGGCAGCAGATGGGCTTCGTTTCAGGGAGGAATTTCTCAACGTAATTTCACTGACTTGAGAAGCATGTTGCAAGTTTCCTCTTCCACGGAGGGAAACAGGTTTCAGTCCAAACGTGCTTATGTCAAAACAAATGTCTGGTTCTGTTCCCAAGAGGCTTTTTATAGAATATCAAACTTTTATAATGAACTAAGAAAGTCAGAACAGATGTTGCAGATTCCCGAGGGTTGAAGGAAAAGCTCAGCGTAGGGTTGAAGTCATCTGGGTCTGGGATGATTCAGTGATTATAATGATTCACAGTCGCAATGAAAACACAGAGAACTAATCCTTTCACACTTAACCCGTCCCAGAAGGTCTGAACTCCTGAATCACTCTGATCCATCTAGGTCTCTAACATCCCAAGTCAAATAATCCGCCATCCTCTGTGATACAATCTCAAGTCTTTGACATGTTTTCTGTCATAACACACAAAACCATCTGGGCTGTTTTAAAGTGAGACTGTCACAGCTGTTAGAGAAACACAAGACTAACCCAAAAAAGATCTGAGGGATTTCCATCAAAAACAGCAGAGGAAGAATCCAGGAAAACAGAAGAAACCCAAACTGGACCGAGCGGGTCAGAAACATGTTGGCCTTTTCAGTCTGACAGTGTAGAAAGAAAGGGTGTAGAAGACTGATGCAATGATAATAACACAGTTAGTCTCCTTTTAGATCAACTCTGGTTGGTTTGGGTTTAGTTTGTCAGGTTTGGTTGGAGCTGCGTTAGTGATGCTGGCTGGACGGTTGGGTCCAGTTGCTTACTGGATCTCTTGGTTGCTTGGTCGATTAGTGGATTGGGTTGCTTGCTTAGTTTGTGTTTGGTTTCCTGGTTGGTCTCAGATAGCTCTGACAGCTTAAAAGCTGATGCTGTTTCCTTACATGATCTGTCTGCTGAAAGAATAGTGAAACTGATGTACATTTCTGTGCCTAGATGTGATTTACAATGTTGAATAGGATAAAAGTCTCACAGTGGGCCATCGGTAGCATCGTTGCCTCACAGCAAAAGGTGAAAGGATCTCTGATTCACCCTAAATAAAGTTTTTTCACTGACATTTTACTTTGAAATGCCTCAGAGGGATCTGACTGATAAAAGGTAACAGTCAGGATAAGGATACAAAACAAGAAAAACACAAAGAAATAAACTGAAGACAGTCATCAGCAAAGGGCGAGTATATAATGCAACAGTTACCAAACTTAGAATTTCCTACAAAGTTTATGAAAAAGACAAGAAAAAAAATCTGGAAAATCTCGTGTCTTCGTCTCATATCTGGGCTGCAGTGTAGGACAGAAAAACAAACCTTTTGGGAAAATGTGCTGTGGTCAAAGTTGCTTTTTTTTGTCTTTTTAACAAGAAATTTAGTCCACTGTGTGTGGGTAGAGGTCACAGTGAGTCTCTTATCTTTTGAATTACTTTCTGCAGAACCAGGAACAATCAACCACAGTTTCTAGTCCATTTTCCTCCAACAAATAGTTGCCCAAACAGTAGCTTTAAAGGTTGTCCCTGGGCATATCTTGTCGTATGAGCTCAAACAAAGGGGTTTTCCAAGGCTTTCTTTCTATAAAAGGTTAAGTTTTATGGTGTAAACCTGCATAAAAGTTCATTGATTTTCAAGGCAGCAAAGGTCAGAGTCTTTAAGTTGATCTGAAGCTGATATTTCTTTTTTCTTTTAAGTCATAGCTTATTCACGCAATAAAAAAAAGACTTGTAAGGCTAAAACATTTAGATCCAATTCTAAAAGAAGAATAAAAAAAGAGTTGTTTATATAAAAAGCAGAAAGTTGTTGCCTGTGAGAACGTATTACATGACTAATCTACCCCTGACACTCTCCTAATCTTTCAGAGGCTACACCTTTGACTGCAGGCCTTTCCAGCTCCTGAGAGCTGATAACCAGAACAATGCCACGCCAGACTGAACACACACCGTCACACACAGATTAAAGCCCGCCATCTGAGGAAGTGTTCCTTAAAGAAGTGGGGCTGGGTGTTTGCCTTGTGGAGGAACAGACTGTATCAGAGGATCTCACCTGCTTCCTCATCCTCATCCATGCCGATGGGGCCGGACTGCGGCGTCTCGCCGTTCTTCAGACAGTTGTGGATGTAGGTGGCCTTCCAGCGGGCGTACTTCCGGTGCTGGATGTTCTGGAAAAGATTAAAACGTCCAATATTTTACAAGTAGGAGGTCAGTCTTGGAACAAAGTGTGACGAAGGAATAAATATTAATTGCTGAAGGATAATCACAGAGTCTTGAGTTCAAACTTTATTGCAATTATCATTCTTATTAACTGTAAATGAAAGGCTCTGTCTTATGTCATGAAGTCAGTTTCGACAGCCTTCACAGACAGAGCCGGTGTCTGGGTGTTTGGTCAATCGTTGTAAGTTTTTACCAACTCTTCATGTCTCTGAGTTACACTGGCCTTTTACTATGCTAAGATGGGTCTTAATGTAAGGATGTCTTCCATCATACCAACTTTGAGGCACATTTTCACCATAAAAAGCCTTAAATAGTTGCTTTCTGTGTCACTCCTATAAGAAAATGAATTTTCTGGATAACAGGCGATAGGAAACTGTGGGTCTACAATAATCACAGTTGCTGTTTTTTAGTTTTGGTGGCAGGATATTTGGAATGTGGGAAAAAAGAGCAGAAGGGGTAAAAAGGACCAAGACGGCCACATTCACACTGACGTGATGCTGATAAGAGCGGCTGTAGAAAGACCTGCTTCTTCCAGATAAGTGCCATGTTCTTCAGAAACAATGGCGTTTCGGACGAGAGCTGTGTTTGTTTGGCCTTGGCCTGTCTAAAGGTTGAAGTTGGTCATTTCCAGCAGGGAAAGAAACACTGATGTGATATGAAACTAAAAAAGCAAAGGAGGGCGACTTTTCATGTGAACATTTCAAGTAACAGGTGACTAATGGAGAAGATATTCCTAAAAACAAATGTCTCTTCTGCTTGGGAAGGGACAGGGTAATGTCCAGCACGTCTCTCCCTCCATAGCCACCAGCAAAGCTGGCTAGCACCTAGCTTTAAAGTCCAAATGCTTGAGCGCATCTCTAAAATGCTTTTAGCTGCCTACTGTAATCATTTAAAACACCAAATATACCTTAATCATTAACCGTTTGAAACTGTTTAATGCATATGTTAATATCTTGTCTTCCTCATCGCGTCTCTTGAAGGTAAAACAAATCAGCAACAAGAGAAATGAATGCCGCTCCTGAATTGGCAGTTTGGCAAATGCCAGCCAATAATATTAAGTAACATTATGGCCCTCTGAGCTTCCCAAGCTGAGATACATTTTCTAAAATAATGCAGCTTGGATAGCCTGGTAGAGAGAGCCTCATATGCTCTATGAAGAAATCTGAACATTTTCCACCAATAATGTGGAAGTTTTGCCATTTGTAGAGACAGAAGTGAATACAATTATTATTATTATTATTATTATTATTATTTCATTTAATTTTTTTAATTGGAAAGGCAAAATACAATTATTTGTACAATCCAGCTTCCACCACAATGGAAGGAAGAGAAGGAAAAACATAACCCAATCCAGGGTTTTTGTATGAATACGATTATTTTCCCATAACTGTTAAAAATCCTTTTTTGCATCAAACGAACCTGTTAAAATTCTGATTTTCATGCTGAAAGAGTAGCACTGTGGGCTCCTGCAGCCCCACAGACAGGAAGAGACTCACAAAATCACTGAAAACATAAATAACACCTGAATCTTTATAACTAAAACCTCATAATCCTGCCTTGCTGCTGAAATGTGCTATACAAATAAAATTTGATTGATTGATTGGTTGATAATCCTTGTTAATTATGTAAGTCCTGGTCCAGGCGGAGACATGCTCACAGTAACTCACACCTCATTTCACACTCTGGTCAGGATGAAACCTGTCCAACATGCAGCGTCAGGATTGGAATCAGAAAATCAGAGACATGAAGCTCTGCTGAAAAAGCCGAACCAGAACCAGAACCACCTCCGTGCAGGACCAGCGTCTGCCGGCCAAGTCACAGAGCTTTCCTGTCTGAGTCAAACGGTGAGAACAAAACTGGAGTTCAGCTGATGTTTTCATGACTCAGGAGGAGAGACTACAGCTTTGTTTTCTTCAGCCACACTATTGACGGACTGATCCATCCGTTAAGCCACTGACTAACGGAAAATTTGAATATGAACGTAATCAGAGGGGTTTTCACTTTGATTTACCTCAAATAAAACTACCAATATAACAGACTGCAGGCCTCATGAACACAGAAGCACATAATTAAAAAATATCCTCTTAAATTAAGAAAAACAACAAAAAAAGCCCAACAAAAACATCCCTGAGACCCCATTTGTGACCCAAAGACTCTAAAACATCAGAATTTGCACATTTATTTTGTTTCTGTCTGGTTACATCATTCTTTTAAATATTCCACCAGACATTACCAATGCACTGTATCTCATTCACATTTTTATAAATGTTGGCTGATGCAATATTGGCTTCACTGGAGACAGTTTATGATAACCGTTTCAGGTTTCATCTGAAATATTCAGCAGGGAGACGAGGAATGGAGAAACATTTTAGATTCAAATGGAAACTTTACTGTTCAGGTTGAACAGGGAGAATTGAAATTCCTCATCTGCACTTTTTAACCTGATCAATTCAGTTTTGAAATGATGCTAAATGTGACGTGAAAGATCGTTTGACTTTGCACTCCTTATTTAGGATTTGTGCTACTTTAAATGTAATTACAAGCTAAGCTGGATAAAGTTTAAAATATATAATCTGCAGAAATCCTTTGGATCCTCTAATATGTAGGAAAGTGAAGAAATTACTCATTTGCTCTTCTTTAGCCATTAACAGTTAGCAGAAAAAAGATGTTAAAGTTCTGATTTGTGCGTCGGGTGTCTGAAGATCTGAAGCTGCTGCTGTTCCCGACATGAATGAGGACAGAACAGCATTTCCTCCAGCAGCTCCCCTTCAATCAGCCTCTCTGTGCTTTGTGACAAATGCTCCTTTTGATTTAATGTCCAACACCTTTGCCCACCATTTATCCCAGAATGCAGCGGGACACGCCAGGATCTTTGAACGCGTTTGGCTCTGATCACGTTGGGTAGTTTGGCTGAGCAGCAGGAGTTTGGTAATTGCTTACCACTCTGCACAGATTAATGGGAGGATGAATGAAAATGATCCTGGGAAGTTAGGTTGTCAACAAACGAGTCAAAGCTTTCAAAACAAACAGCTGAGATAGTATCAGATAATGAGTTTACCATCAACTGCAACAATAATGGTAATGCTGCACAGTCTGAGAGCGTTTTAAGTGATGAATGGAGCTGGGCTTTGTTTGAGCCTTTACTCTGTTTTATCCATAACTGTACTGTAAACCCAACAGGATGGGGGGAAATTATTTTGATAACTTAAAGCAGAATGAAACGACGCAGGTCGTTTTGTTCGTTGTTGCTGTCCGTTCTCACCCACCTCGTCTGAAAGCTCCCCAAAGACAGACAGAACGTCCATCAACAAGCTGGAGGTGTAGAAGGACTTGATCATGTTCCTGCAGAAAGAAACAGACGACACATCATTTTATTCATGTTTCTTCTGGGGTTTCACTTATTCAGGTACAAATCTTTACGGTTTATACGGCCTCCTTCCCTTTACTCTAACGTTCACCCTAAACTTTTAACTCCTGTCATAAAATACATGGATAACAAGCTTAACACAACACATTTTAAAATATTTTATTTCTTTTCTACTGCACTTGGAGAATAAGAAATCCAAAAATCATGAAAGAAACAGAAGAGCTAAAACGAACTACGTTGTATATTGTCCTTCGGTGTGTTTGTTTGAGAAGCTGTTAGACTGGCCGATGTGTTTATTGGATAAATAAATTCTTTATTTAGAAGCTGCTTTGAGAAGAAACATCTGCTAAATGATGTGGAAATACAGACAAATTACTCTGGCCCAGCGGCAGACGCCACAGCTGGAACTGAAATAGTTTGAGGGTTTTAAATAAAAAAAGACAAACAAAAAAGAAAGACCTCAAAGATTGCTGCTGTTCCCACTTCAGAAAAAGCAGACAAATGCCTAAAATGCAACATTTTGGCTCAAAAACATTCTCTTAAGTATGAAGATGCTTCAGGTTTGGACTTTGCAGCCACGTCTTGTGACGCAACAAGTTGATCTGAGCCTCAGCAATCTGTGGACAGAGACGCTGCATTTCTAGTGATCTACAGATCAGTATAGAAACTCTCAGCTTTCTTAGCATCTAATATCCCATTAAGCATAAAAAATGGCTTCATAAACTGGAAGCTAATAAATATATCTTGTCAAAGTTCACAAGCTTTTAGGTTTCGACCCATTTCAGTCAGTTTTTCTGTCATGTTTCCTGTCAGGGAGCCGCCTGCTGCATCACAGCCGTTCAACGCCAAGAGGTTTTCTGGGTTTTAGTGGAAAACTGCTCTCATTTACATGACTTCAAAGTGTTGGTCGGGGGTTCAATGTGACGGATGCTCCGACTTCAGGCTGCAGGGAGACATTCAGACATGACGATCCCATTAGCCACGCTGGGTGCCAAGACCCAACAAAGTGCAGAAGCATGCATAAAAATGTTGGAGATGTTTTTGGTTAGATATTTTACTGTTTATATAAAAAGATTTTATGTCCGTCTGAAGAGCAAAAAAAGCTATGTTTAACTGATAAAGATCTTATTGTGAGACTAGTTGGTGAGAGATGGCCTGCATAACGTGTCCCGTTAACATAGCTGTAGAGTTAAAACATGTTAAAAGTTAAACTTTCATTGTTTCATGGTGAACTGCTCAGTATCAAACGGATTTTCAGTCCAAACAGTTCCACTGAGGAAAATCCTCCCGTTGGCCGACTTTACTCATTAATGAACCAATTTGGATTTGTTTGTCCCCATTATTTGTTGAAACAAAAGCAATGAAACAGACCCACCATGCTGCCACCACCGTGCTTTACAGTTGGTACACCAGCGCCTTCCTGACATGTGACCAATTCCCTTTACAGCTTGAAATAAACATAAAATGTGCAACTGCAAAAATGAATAAAACTAAGACACAAAAAATATGAATTCAGCATGAAATATATGCATGGACGAGCTGAATGATGCCTCTGACTTTAGCAGCACACAGTGGGTTTGTTAGACTGAACTTGGGCACATTTCAGTGCTCCAACAGGACAATGATGCCAATAAGAGACGAACATTAAGTTTTTGGAATAGCTTTCCCAAAGCCCTGACTGATACTTTGTCATGTCTCTTCCACAGAGCAAACTCTGCCAACAAGAGCAACCAAATATCCACCCAAAATGATGCCAGAAGCTTGGAGGTTCATGTTGAATTATCATCTCCAAGGTGGAAAAAGACCAGCGCAAATAAAACATTGAAATGTCGCCACGTAGATGATGTTCATGGCGGTTAAAAGTGGATGCAAACGTCTGAGTTTGTCCCATCATGGAGGCAGAATGAAGGTGAGAAGATGAATAAACTCCATCAGAGGTTGGATGGGTTTCTACCAACTCACCTCTGAGCTTCAGATTGAATATAATTCTGTTTACTTATGACTGATTATTTGTGCCTTTGTGTAAACGCACTGCAGACGCCTGCTGCTTCTCATTAAACTGCAGGCTGTTTGCGTTCAGCGGAGCAGAAATGTGACTTGATCTTGTTAAACACAGCTGCAGGAAACAGAACGGTTCTGACTGCCTGTTTACACTGAACATCTCTGCTGTTATTCATCCTTTACAACCTGCTGCTTGCTCCTCACACCTACCGCTACCATTAGGAGGGAAATCCAACCCACCTGGCCTGGCTTTCATTAATGTATCAGTTGTGTTGGTAACAAGAGAGAGGCTGATCTGTTTTAGGGATGGAAGTACCAATCTATACGATCTTACAGAGGTTTTACTGAAGTTTCCATAAACAATTTATTAGATTTAGGAAAGTTTTAGGAGATTTTTACAATTATTTTTCTTTTATTCAAGAGCTGAAATGTAAATTAAGCTGCACATTTTAAACAGCAAAGCTTTATTGGAGAGTGACCACAGAATTAATTAATAAAAAAAGCAATAAAGCACATTTTGAGGTAGCAACCTGGACTCATTTGCTAAACATTTAAAAGGTTTCCTGGTTGGTAATGAATGAAAGCATGGTGGTGGCAGTGTTATAATGTGGAAATAGTTGTGATCTCTCTTGAGGGAGCTGCACAGGGTCCTGGTTTAGAAGTTTAACAGCAT